GTAAAAGTATGCACATCCCACTTGCATCCCTATATTGTACTTAAATAATCATTAAAAACTACATATCTCTCCAGTGATCTCACCTCCAAAGGAATGCAAATCCAAATTGCACTGTCACTGGATCTTCCACAGCTCAGGTAAGTGGGAAATACAATATAAAGCAAGAAGCCTGTTATACGTAATGTGGGGTTTTAAGATTTGGTCCTTAGAGCTACCTTCCATTATGTAAATCCAATTGTTAGTCCCTGCTTCATTAGATCCGTTGAATAAATTTAATGATGAGATAACACACAAATCCCATTGATCCACTGGGTCTAATGGATTCAACCTGTTGTTACTTATATACTTCCCTTTAATTATTACATCCCCCAACACTGAAGCCCTCCTGAGATCCTTCCCATCTCTGAAAATGGAATGTTTGTGCATTGGTCACACATTACTGATTTTGTAGGAGAGGGTACAGCAAGACATTGGGGCAGCTTCACAATGTCCACATATTTTGCAGAACCAGGATCTTCTGCCTAATACTCCCATGTGGCAGTCTCAAAATGATAACAGATGGAGGTCCACTTTAAAGTGGCACATTCCCTGCAATTAAAAAAAAGTTGGAAGAATCAAGATAGACTAACTGGCAGGAAGGTCCTGACCAGTACTGGTCAAACTAAACACTGGAAATTGCCTTCAGCATAATGAGATCTTTGCTGCTGAATAAAATCTTCTTTTACACAAAAACAGTTTATGAATGTAGGATATTGTGCTTCTGTATGCATGATTTCAAAACACAAGAAAATGGTCCGGTATTGCTGCACAATATTGTGCCCGCATTGTGAGCAAAGAAAAAAAAGGATGCCATGTTCTACATAGCAAAGGGCAGACTGAATGTTGATAACACCAATGGCAGCAGCCATGATGGTCTACCACAGGATACTCTCTTGTGCTCACTACCATTTCATAAAAAGACCCCAACCAAGGGAAAATCCGAGAACTCCTTTGTTCATCATTTAACTACTTCTCACCCAAACACAAAGCAATTGTCATGCTTGTTTTTTGACAAATGTGAATGGTAGTGAGTGAGTACAAGAGGGTAAAAGAATATTCTTATGATTTCCTTATAATAGATATTGTAGGAGATTCAGAATAGTTGTACACAAATGAACCATGATGTCCCACCTATTAATATCTACTGTTTAAATGTATATTAAAAAAAGAAGAAGAGGGGAAGTTTAAAAATTGAGGAAAAATTGATGAAGGCATATGGAAGAACATGAAAACTTTAGAAAATTTGTTTCCCCATTCACTAACCCTAAATAGAAATATAAAAGAGCTGCTGGACTGTAACAAGAGGAGATAGGTTATCAATTCTAGTGTAGGTGAACTGCCTGTCCATCTGATCTGCAAGGGCAGTAGTGATCGCTAGCAGTACTGCTGTTGTTATTGTTTCCAGTGGTGGGAATATATACTGCCTAGACAGGAGAGTTTAGGAAGGTGAGAAAAACCTACAGCCAGCACCCATTTATGCTGGAAGATAAAGGAAATAAGGGATTTTCTATAAGATAGGCAAATAGAGCAGCTAAAGAAGAGACGAAAGGAGGGAAATCAATAGGGAGAGGCACCTTGCATAAGTAGAGCCTTTCTGCCAATAAAAGATCAGCCATCTTTTATGCATTTGGTTTTCTTAAGTTATGGCTGGATAGCTCAATGGTTTAGGTATCTGACTGCAGCGACAGATGTTGGGAGTTCGATTCTTCAATGTAACTCCTGTAAATAGAGTCAGCCTGTGTGGCCTTGGGCAAACTGCACAGTCCCACGGCACCCCTAGAAGGAGGGAGTGGTGAACCACTTCTGAGTATTCTCTACCTGGAAAGCCCTGGAAAGAGTTGACATAACTGAGAATTGATTTAACGGCACATGATGATTAAAGTTAGAAGTCCTCCAGCTTATACTCAAACATTAAGTGTACTGTGCCAGCAAGGTATGATAGAAAGCAAAAACACTCTTATAAGAATTGTGAGATCCAATACGGAACCCCAAGGATTCCATTGACTCAGGTTAATGACAGGATAAACGTGGCCTTCTGAATTCTATCTTATATCATGAACAGCTGTGTTAAAGCAGCTATATTGCAATGCCTTAGATGGTTTCCAGAATTTCTTACTGCTCTGTCCTAAGTATGTTTACCAAGACATTGCTTCATTTGCATTTAATGGGACATATTATACCACAGGATTGGAACCTGCAGAAAATCAAGCAACTAAAGGTTTCATGACACAGACAGTAAACACTTGCCTGCAAGAAAAAAGCTTAAAAGCAATGTAGCAAACGTTGTAATATTTCCCTGTAAGGAGTCAGAGCATTCATCCACCATGACAAATGATTATTGTTTAAGATACTGTGAAAAAGACATGCCTCACAGTAACTAGACTTCGTGATCTCTGTAAAACAGAAATAAGTTAGGAGTGAGCATTTGTTGTAGTTAATTTGAGGTCTACATGATTTTCCAGTCTATTTGGATAAACTGAAATCAAATCAAATGCACATTATCAATGATATTTTGGAGACAGATGATAAAGCAGTTATGCACAAGCGCTTTAAAGTATTTATTTAATTAAAAAGATTTTTTAAAGAAATCCTTCTATTTCTGGCAGTTTAGAATTTTAATACAATCCTGAAGGAAAAATAGTTGCCAAATTTGTTCCATATGAGACATTGTATTAAAAAAAAGTAACATAAGGTTACAAAGTGAGTTTTGGAACAACAAGATTGGACAACACACATCAATAACAGTATAACTCATGTCATTGGTAGCCATAATAATCCAAATGCCACTTTGTACTTCCATAAGAGAAATTGTATTAATTCTTGATGGCAAATTGCTGCTCATTAATGAGGTGCCGATTGTATTCATAGGCATTCAGCTCATCAGGCTCTCACCTAGAAATGCAACCAGCACCTTGTTAGTGGATGACAGTTTGCTGCCATGGATTAAAGTGACTTTCTTTATGCAAGTATAAATTGGCAATAGGATTCTGGTCTACATTTGCTTAGGAAATTCTGCTTTCCGGGTCAGTGATATAGCATGATTATCTCTTGCTTCCATAATTTCAATATCCCTCACCCAATTTTGACACAGCAAGATTGACCCTTCAAGCCAAGTAATGTTAGTGTAAAAATATCACTTACTCTTGAGGTCAAGGGAATGCAATGGCAATTAGTCACTAGAATGTAGCCAAAGAAATTAGGTATTAGACAACAAGGCTGAACTCAGAGCATACTCTGACAAAGCCAGTTTAATTGCTAGTCTAATGTTCTCCAGAACAGAGGCGGTTAGCCGTCAACAAAATGCACCAGACTCATTGAGCTTATAGTTAGAATCATGGTGGCTGCATTTACCCTTTGTCTTGTGTGAGGAGGAAGTAGCAGGAACATCAAAGAGTGAGCCGTCCCCTCAATCTCCCAAGATAGAACAAGAGATAACATTCAGCTCATCAGGCTCTCACCTAGAAATGCAACCAGCACCTTGTTAGTGGATGACAGTTTGCTGCCATGGATTAAAGTGACTTTCTTTATGCAAGTATAAATTGGCAATAGGATTCTGGTCTACATTTGCTTAGGAAATTCTGCTTTCCGGGTCAGTGATATAGCATGATTATCTCTTGCTTCCATAATTTCAATATCCCTCACCCAATTTTGACACAGCAAGATTGACCCTTCAAGCCAAGTAATGTTAGTGTAAAAATATCACTTACTCTTGAGGTCAAGGGAATGCAATGGCAATTAGTCACTAGAATGTAGCCAAAGAAATTAGGTATTAGACAACAAGGCTGAACTCAGAGCATACTCTGACAAAGCCAGTTTAATTGCTAGTCTAATGTTCTCCAGAACAGAGGCGGTTAGCTGTCAACAAAATGCACCAGACTCATTGAGCTTATAGTTAGAATCATGGTGGCTGCATTTACCCTTTGTCTTGTCCTTCATTGATGTTATTGTATTTGCATAGGATTATATTATAGTGCAGATGAGTCAACGTAAAATGTTAAAAAGCACACTGGAGTCCTGGAGAAATATAGGAGAGAAGGATCCCAAGTCATTTGCTGTTGAGGCACTGAGGTGCCAGAGAAACTGTGTGTTGATGTGGATTAATCCTGCTCCGGGGGCAACTGAGCACCATAGATGGTTTTTATCGCACTAACTTGGAAAATCACTATTAATAATATAACATGAATTTATCTTTTTTCCTCTTGGCAACCGATACATGTGATTTTGCAATATCCAATTCCATTGTGAGCCTTTAATCTTCAAATATTCACATCGTAAAGCCTTACTTGACACAGAATAAGGAGAATAAGGAAGATTGGCTTTCAAAGCCTCAGAGTGAAAATGGCAAGATAAAAAGAAGCTCTTCAAGAAAATTCACACATTTGCAAAGCACTGCAAATGGACTTTTTTCAATGTATCATCTTTTCACATGTTGGCAAAAGATCCTTTAGCACCTGCTAGGAGTATCTTCAACACAGTTTGACTTTAGAAGAGTACAGTATCCTGCTGGCCCCTTCCATTAGTCTACTTTCTTGTCTATTTGATGAGAATCTGAACCTCTGTTTTCCCATAAGGTACATAACACTCTTTACGGAGGCAGCCTCTGACGGAACTTGTTCCCCCGTGCACCTCTGCAAGTTACAAAGAATTCTCATGACTTCCACGAAATAACAGGCTTTTTTCTACTGCTCCAAAGCAGCAGCACAGGAATGGCATGGACATAAGAGGGCTCCTCTACCTCCTGTGAGTTTGAAGGTTCTCACTCCCTTGTCAACCTGAGGAGGTAGGGCTATTTCCTGCCGAATAACGAGACTGGGATTAATCAAAAATCCCTTCCCCACAAACTAATGAGGCATATGCACAACAGGGATATACCTAGAAATGCGAATGGCATTAGTTAGCAGCAAGTTCCCACTGTGAGTTATGCAGTTTTACTTGCACACGCACACAAATCAGAAACAGGATTCTGGCCTTTGCCTGTTTTCAATTTCTGCACTTTAATTCAACCAGATGTAGTAGACAAAATAAAGATTAGAAAAACTGCCACACCATAATCTGATGGTACCTCCTCCCTTCAAATAACTCGAGCCATTTCATGAATTTAGCTTTAATAGAAAAGTTGATGGCAAATTCTGAAAATGCATTTAGTACAAAATAATTTTACACAATAACTCTTGGAACGCAACAAATATCTTCGAAAAAATTGAAAACAATACAATTTGATTTTAAAAAACTGTTACAATTCTATTCTAGCCAGATGGGTAAACCTTCAAAAGTTTCACATCATCCACTGGACGATCTTGTGCATTAGTTTCTACCATGCCCACTCTGTTGACTACTCCAATTCCTTGTGAAACACGACCAAATATAGTGTGTTTCCCATCAAGCCACTGAGTTGGTGCTAATGTGACAAAGAACTGGCTTCCATTTGTATCTGGTCCTGCATTTGCCATAGCAAGGATTCCTGCACCTTAGAGAGAAAAAGCTGTGTTACCAACCTAAAACATCCAAGTAAATCTTTACATAAAACAAAGACAAAGCAAAAGGTAACAACCGTACAATTTTCTGCATTATTCATGAATGAAGTGTGTTTAGCCTGAGGAAGTGAATTTCATCCACACAAGCTTGCTACTTATTTACTGTTTTAGTGGACAAATAAAAGGTATTACCCATTCTTGCATTTGTGTAACAATTCAAAAGAACACTTATAGGGACTGAGCATGTGAGTTCAATATTTACTGCAATGATACAGGAAGACAACATAAGGTACATTCAGCAATAGTGATAACTTAAATCTCCTTTCTGCCTCCGTATGGGGAATGTTTTAATCAATAACTGGATAGAAAATTCCAACTTAAAGACAGATTTTCTTTAAAAGGGCATCTGATAATACGTGACTATGTCATACAAGATATGTTCAACAAACAAATTCAGAAGCTAGATTTTATTTCCTGAAGAAGTAGGTAAACTTTTTTGGCTGTTAAAACTGTTACAGTGGAACAACTTTGTATTGTATCATTTTGTTTCTGCTACTTGCCAGGAAGGCTTAGTAACAATAAACAAGCACCATCTCTGTTGATTTTTCATTATTTGGGTGCACACACATTCTTTTCACTCAAACTTCCCAATTCATGACTCAACTATATGTTTATATTGCTATTTTATATACTGGTTATTAGTGTCATACTGTAATTTATTGCACTACTTTGGATCTGTATTTCTCACAGCTCAGTTATTTCTAATGCATTGAGCACTATACGAATTTGATTAAATAAATACCTCTACCTCTCTGTAATTCTAGGAACACTTATCACAGAATCAAAGAATAACAGAGCTGGAAGGGGCCTATAAGGCCATCAAGTCCAACCCCCTGTTCAGTGCAGGAATGGAAATCAAAGTATATCTATCTGGCAGATTGTGTCTAATTTTCTCTGGAATGTTACCAGTGCTGGAGTGTTCACCACCTTCCTATGTAATTGATTCCATTTTGTACTGCTCTAATAGTTGGAAGGTTTTTCCTGATACAGTGGCGCCTTGCTTGACAAGGATAATCCATTCCATTCAAATAGCTGTTAAGCGAAATCGTCATCAAGCGAAAGTAAAAAACCCATTGCAATGCACTGAAAACCGGTTCAATGTATTCCAATGGGGAAAATATCTGCTCATTTTGCAAAGATCCTTCCATAGGGCAACCATTTTCCAATGCCTGTATAGCGAGCAATCAGTCCTGAAAACAGTGGGGAGCCATTTTGCGACCCGCCAATCAGCTGTTTTCAATCGTCATCCAGCGAAAAATTAGTTCCAGAAGCAGGAAACTGATCGTTGTTAAGCAAAAAAACCCTTTGAATCATCGTTTTGATGAAAGGCATCATTAAACGATTTCAGCATCAAGCGGGGTAATCATCAAGCAGGGCACCACTGTATTCATCCAAAATCTGGCTTCCTGTAATTTCAGCCCATTAGTACATTTATTCTGGGATGACCAAGAACAAATGATGCTTCAGCTCTGTAAGGGAATCTTTCAAGTATTTGAAGACTGAGATCTTACTTCCCCTCTATCTTCTTTTCTCATGCCCAGTTCTTTCAGTCTTTCCTCATAGCACTTGGTTTCCACTCCCCTAATCATCCTTGTTGTCCTCCTATGAACTTGTTCGTTTGTTGGCATCCTTTTTAAAGCACGGTGTCGAGAAGTGGACCCAGTACTCAAGATGGGGCCTAACAAGTCCTGACTAGAACAGAATTAGTACTTCACAGGGTTTAGAGACTCCGCTTTTGTTAATGCACCCTAAAATAGTATTTGTCTTTTTTGCAGCCACATCACACTGTTGGCTCATATTCAGCTTCTGATCTACAATGATTCCAAGATACTTCTTGCTTGTAGTATTACAGAGCCAAGTTTCCCTTCTCTTGTCACTGTGTATTTGATTCCCCCCACCCCCAGTGTAGAACTCTGAACTTATCCCTGTTAAATTTTATTTTGTTGTTTTCAGCCCAGTGCTCAAGCTTAACAAGATCTTTTTGAATTGTGTTTGTCTTCTAGGGTATTGGCTACTCCACGTAATGTTGTGTCATCTGATAAACATTCCCTACACCACCTCATGCAAGTAATTTATAAAAATGTTGAAGAGCACCAGGCCCAAGACAGAGCCTTGTGGGTACCCCACGTGTTGCCTCCTCTGAGTTTAAAAAGGACCCATTTATAAGCATTCTCTGAATATAATTCTCTAACCAACTGCATACCCACCTGATAGCTGTTCTATCCAGCCCACATCTAATTATCTTGGTAATCAGAATATCACGGACACTTTGTTAAAAGCTTTTTGAAGTCAAGATTTAGAACATCTACTGCATTTCCACTGTCCGTCAAGTAGGTTACCCAATGAAAAGTGAGATAAGATTAGTCCGGTAGAATTTGTTTTTCACAAATCCATGTTGGCTTCTAATTATCACTGCATTCCTTTCAAGGTGCTTGCGGAGTGATGCCTTTATAATCAGCTCTAGAATTTTCCCTGACATTGATGTCAAGCTGATTGATCTGTAGTTCCCAGCTTCCTCCTTTTTGTACTTTTTGAAGATAAGGACATTAGCCTTCCTCCAATCACCTGGCATTTCACTCACTCTCCATGACTGCAAGAAAATAAGAGTTGTTCTGAGAATTCTTCAGCTAGTTCCTTCAATACTCTTAGATGCAGTTCATTAGGCCCCAGATATCTGTACCTGTTCAAAATATAAAGTATTCCTTGACTATTTAACCAGCCCAAGCTGGAAACCCATCCCATCAATTTCTACTTCACATTTATCTGGAGGGTCATAGACTGTCTTTTGGGAAAAGACTGAGCTAAAATAGGAATTCAGAACTTCTGCCTTTTCTTCGTTATCTGCTATAATTTTTAAAGCCCCCTGAGTGGCTGAGCCACTGTTTCTTTTCTCTCTTTTCCTATGCTAGCCTCAGCTCATTTTCAGCTTTTGCTTTCCTAATGCCATCCCCACAATTCTTTGCTACCTGTCCTTACTCTTTCTTTGTCGTCCGGCCATCCTTCCACTTCCTATATGTGTCCCTTTTTTGTTTTCAGGTCCTCTTTGAGATTTCTGTGAAGCTATATTGGTCTTTTTTGCTCTCTTCTGCTTTTTTTTTCCTTGTTGGAATTGCTTGTAGTTGGGCCTTTAGAATTTCCTTTTTTAGAAACTCCCACCATTCTTGGACTCCTTTTCTTGTTAGGATATACTTCCACGGGACTTTACTTATCACTTTTCTGAGTTTATTAAAACTGGCTTTCCTAAAATCCAGCCTACCTGTGCAGTGACGCTCTACTTTGGTTTCCTTTCCAATCAAGTACTCAAGGAGAACATTGTCACTTTCCCCAAGAGTTCCCCTTAATGCCGCTTCTTCCACAAAATAATTTCTATTGGTTAGAATCAAGTTCCAGGATAGCTAATCTTCTAGTTTCTTCTTCCACTTATTGCAGGAGACAATTATCAACAACACAAGTCAGGAATTTCTTTGCAGCACCATATTTGGCAGAATTGCCTCCCAGCAGAAATCAGGATAACTTGAAACCTCCCATTACTACTACATCATGTCCTTTGTTTTTCAAAGGTCTCATCTGTATCTTGTCCTTGATTGGGAGTCGGCAGTAAACTTCAAATACCACATTCTTTATCTTTAGGTGGTGACGCATGGAGGATTTAAAACAGCCATCAAATTACCTACCTGTAAACTTCAGCTCTGGATGAAGTTCATCTTCAAACTGTTTGCCATAAATGGATGCTCCTCCTCTACCTGTCATAAAATAAGAGCAGGTATACTAATTATAATAGGTCATTGGGAAAGATGCATACACAGTGATTCCTATGAGAATGCAGTACTTAACTATTTAGTTTTATTTAGAATGTCATTCTACTGTAAGAAGGAAATTGCTGAATATCAATAATTAGTTTCGGGCAACCTTCCCCAAATTATTGCCCTTAAGATGTTCCTTCATCCCTGACCATTGGCCATGCTGACCTGGATGGTTGCCTGCCAAACATCTAAAGAACAGGTTAACAACTTTGGTGTGTCTGCGGCCAAATTTCCCAGACACACTAAGCTTCACTGCCTTTCCCCCCCAAAGCCTTGCTGAAGTACTATTTTCAAAAGAAACATAGCATGGGTGGTGAACAAACTAGCTGAATTCCTGCTGCACACTTACACAAACAGTGGAACTTTTAGATAAGAATTAACCATAAATTAAGGAATATCTGTAAACATTATCTATTGCATAATGAGTTGCAATTTACAGACTAATAGCACTCTGGGGATGCTGATGGGAACACTATTTAGCTTTGGAAATTAGGTTCATATAGAACACAAGTCCTGTTTTAAAATAAAAACACAAGGGAAAAGGTTATTTTTTCGAGCCCATGCTGCACCAAGGTTAGTGTCATAAGTGGGGAGGCCAGGCACTCAGAGGAGTCACAATGCTCACCAGGGCTCCATATAATCCATATTTTGTCTACTAATGATCTAAAGCAGTGGTCCTCAACCTTTTCCCAACAATGAACTGGTTGGGGGGGCGTGGCACACCCGCAGGGCAGTGGCGTGTGCTCACAAATGTGCACATGGCAGTGCAGTGGTGCTCGCGGGGCAGGAGATCTGTGCCTTCAACCTGCCTAGGCTGTGGAGTGCTGCTGGGTCACAGACCGGGAGTTGTGGACCCCTGATCTAAAGGACAACAAAATAGGGATGGCGGCCTTGAGAGGAATGGGAAAAGGAACTTTTATAACGACTTAGAAATAGTAATTTGGCCTCAGTACATATGATCAAGGTAGCTTATTTTTCATACATGCAGGAAGAAGAGTGCATAAAAATACAAGAGTTATGTTGGAATGTTTTGTTATTTTGGGATCACCAATTATGTTTTAGTAAGTTTTTTTTTTGCTACAGATTAGTTTCCACTAGAATCCTGAACATGATATGCTGTTTATTTTGAATGTGACTATACCGGTTCCTGTAGGATCTCCCCCTTGAATCATGAAGTCCTTGATTATCCTATGAAACTTTGTGCCATTGTAATAACCTCGTCTGGCTAGTTCCGCAAAATTCTTACAAGTCTTGGGTGCATGCTTCCAATACAGCTCCACAACAATCAGGCCCATACTGCAAAACACAGAGGATTGTAAATGTTTTTATTGTAGTGATTCAGGAAGCAAAGCTTGTAAAATTGCTTTTAAAAATTAATTAGTGCAAATTAGAGTTCCAATCTCCCCGTAGTTAGTAACCATACAACACAAAAACTCTGGCCTCTATTTCCACAAACTCTGGCAAACCCCTAAAGCCCACCAAATGACTCCCTGATACAGCTTTCCTCAGCTGAGGTAACAAATGTTTCATACTCTTAGAAGACAACCTACAACTTGATCCTACAATGAAGGGCAAAGAAGGGCCAGCCAGCCAGCCAGCCGGCTGGCCATTGTGTGGAAACAGCTGACAGATCTCAACCAGAGCAGTGCTTCCCATTTCCAGCAGGGCTTCTGGTTTGTCTCTTCCTTTGCAACAGAATTGCAGGGAATTGAAAACTGTTGGATGGTATTTCTGTGTCTGGTCCAAAATCAAGTACACACACACACTCAGGATCTGGAAACAGTTATACGTGTGTCCCCTCCAGGCCGGGGGGGAGGGGTTCCCAGTCCGCATTCATTCATGTCTTGCCTTTCTCCTTAAAGAACTCAAATGGAACCTTGAATCCATTTGAATCCATTTGGAATTTCCCCTTTATGACATACTGCACATATAGTATATGGACTGTTGGCTTCCCTGGATTGCCTACAACAAAAATGGAAGGAGAAGATTCATGTCCAATACTGATGGACTGTTTTAGATGTTTTGAACACTTTAAAAAATATATATATGTATTAACTTGTATTAATCGGCGTAATATTGGATTAGGCACAGGAATAATATGTGTAAATCGGTGGGAAACTGGTAATGATAAAAGTGGTAGGACACCCACCACCACCAAGCAACAGACGATTAACCGATTAACCGCACCACTTCCCCTCTTCCTGTCTGTCCCAGATGCGTCAAGCTGCTGTGATTCCTCCTCCTCCTCCACCTCCTCCACCACCGGCACCACGGCGATCATGCCGCCGTGTGTCCACGTGCTAGGCCAATAATGTAAGGCTTATCTCAACCAGAGCAGGGTCTCCCATTTCCAGCAGGGCTTCTGGTTTCTCTCTTCCTTTGCAACAGAATTGCAGGGAATTGAAAACTGTTTGACGGTATTTTAGATTTTAGATTGTTTTCTTGTTACAAAGGCCAGCCAGCCACAGCCAGCCAGCCACAGTTAGCCGTTTCCATTGTGTGGAAACAGCTGACAGATCTCAACCAGAGCAGGGTCTCCCATTTCCAGCAGGGCTTCTGGTTTCTCTCTTCCTTTGCAACAGAATTGCAGGGAATTGAAAACTGTTGGATGGTATTTCTGTGTCTGGTCCAAAATCAAGTACACACACACACTCAGGATCTGGAAACAGTTATACGTGTGTCCCCTCCAGGCCGGGGGGGAGGTGTTCCCAGTCTGCATTCATTCATGTCTTGCCTTTCTCCTTAAAGAACTCAAATGGAACCTTGAATCCATTTGAATCCATTTGGAATTTCCCCTTTATGACATACTGCACATATAGTATATGGACTGTTGGCTTCCCTGGATTGCCTACAACAAAAATGGAAGGAGAAGATTCATGTCCAATACTGATGAACTTAGATGTTTTGAACACTTTAAAATATATATATGTGTGTGTGTGTGTATTAATCGGCGTAATATTGGATTAGGCACAGGAATAATATGTGTAAATCGGTGGGAAACTGGTAATGATAAAAGTGGTAGGACACCCCCCCGCCAAGCAACAGACAATTAACCGCACCACTTCCCCTCTTCCTTTCTGTCCCAGATGCGTCAAGCTGCTGTGATTCCTCCTCCTCCTCCACCACTGGCACCACGGCGATCACGCCGCCGTGTGTCCACGCGCTAGGCCAATAATGTAAGGCTTATCTCAACCAGAGCAGGGTCTCCCATTTCCAGCAGGGCTTCTGGTTTCTCTCTTCCTTTGCAACAGAATTGCAGGGAATTGAAAACTGTTTGACGGTATTTTAGATTTTAGACTGTTTTCTTGTTACAAAGGCCAGCCAGCCACAGTCAGCCAGCCAGAGCCAGCCAGCCAGCCAGCGCCAGCCAGCCACAGCCAGCTGTTTCCATTGTGTGGAAACAGCTGACAGATCTCAACCAGAGCAGGGCTTCCCATTTCCAGCAGGGCTTCCCCTTTTTCTCTGTTCCTTTGCAACAGAATTGCAGGGAACTGAAAACTATTTGATGGTATTTTAGATTTTAGATTGTTTTCTTGTTGTAAAGGCCGGCCAGCCACAGTCAGCCAGCCACAGCCAGCCACAGCCAGCCAGCCGTTTCCATTGTGTGGAAACAGCTGACAGATCTCAACCAGAGCAGGGCTTCCCATTTCCAGCAGGGCTTCTGGTTTCTCCCTTCCTTTGCAACAGAATTGCAGGGAATTGAAAACTGTTGGATGGTATTTCTGTGTCTGGTCCAAAATCAAGTACACACACACACACTCAGGATCTGGAAACAGTTATACATGCGTCCCCTCCAGGCCGGGGGGGAGGGGTTCCCAGTCCGCATTCATTCATGTCTTGCCTTTCTCCTTAAAGAACTCAAATGGAACCTTGAATCCATTTGAATCCATTTGGAATTTCCCCTTTATGACATACTGCACATATAGTATATGGACTGTTGGCTTCCCTGGATTGCCTACAACAAAAATGGAAGGAGAAAATTCATGTCCAATACTGATGGACTGTTTTAGATGCCAGAGCCAGCCAGCTAGCCCCAGCCAGCCCCAGCCAGCCTGCTTGCCTGCAAGAACTCATGGAACCTTGATTTTGAAAGGTACACCAGTGAAGCTAAATTAACTTTTTAAATTGTCAATTTTAATATATTTGTTTCCCAGTCAAGTGTAACACTGCTGACATACAAAGTTCTCTAAATTATGAAAAGCTGCCTGGTCCCTTTCTGCACTAGTTAACCACTCCCTTAAACTTGTATCCTGTATCCAAATCTGTGCATGCAATGAACTATGCTAGATCCAGTTGCCGCATGCATTCCAGTGATGCTGATTTCTTTTTTTAAATCTTAACCTTTCTCTTGGCAGCTGAGTACAACATGCAATGGTATCTAGCGCCATGTATGTATCACAACATTCCTGTGAGCAGGAGATGGAGAGCCATGGTCCAGCTGAAACTATCATCTGAAGGAATCCAGGTATGAGCCTCCATCATGGGTTATTTTCCCTGATTGAAAGACCATCATTAAGTCAGGGTCTTGATACCCTTCCTGAAGTTCCAGATGCTCCAAGTGGCCAGTTTGCTACTAAACAAAACCTTAAGAAACATGTGGCCACTCAGAGCAGCTGCTACTACAGGAGAGACTGAGAAAGTCCCATCAATGATAACACAATGAACATCTGCTAGGGAAGGCAAGGAGAGGAATGAAGGAAGGCTGGGGAAGGTGGGGAGAGCTTGTGTAAGAAAGTACTGGATGCCTGTCACTACTTGAGTCAGACTGCCAACCCCAAACAAGTCAGCAGCACCAAAGACTTACTTGATGAGAGAGGATCACACCAAAGTCTGTAACACTTGAACAGTGTCGACAATCTAGACAAGGTTTTAAGAAATCGTGATAAATTACCTGTGGGATGGAGAGGTGGTGTGCTGAACTTTGGAAAACTTATTCCTGAAAGTGCTGTGGCATATATTAGACATATGCCTTCTCTAACTTTCAGATGTAAAGCCCATGAGGAATGAAGCTCAGGACTACCTAACCAAGTGAAGGTGGGGAGAAGAAAAAGATATGCTTCCAGAAACCTCAAACAATTCTTAATCACTGCTCCACTCCTCGCCTCTGGAACAATCTCCCTCCTAAGATCCGCACGGCCCCTACACTGGGTACATTTAAAACTCAACTAAAAACATGGCTTTACATCCAGGCCTCCCCCCACCCCCGCCAGCATTTAATTTAATTTTCTCTTTTTTGTCTATCTATCATTTATTATCTCTTGGAATGTTCTGTTTGTAATGATGTTTATGGATTTATATTATTTAAATTGTATACATGTTGTTGTTAGCTGTCCAGAGTGCTATAATATACCAGATGGACGGGATATAAATCAAATCAAAGAAATAAATACATAAATAAATAAATAAAATATGTCTTATATTTAATAAAGTACTTCTGCCTGGCCTGTTAAATACATGTATTTCGTCCATTGATTATAAAACAGAACATCACAGTGCCAGAAGATACCCTTTGTTCCAAGTTGAAATCTCAACTGCTAAGCCAATCACATGTTTTCATTGGCTTAAATAAGTTCTCAGTGCTTTATAAACTATGCATTTTCCACAATGCAATATTTTCCCAGCTGACCTTTGGAAAAGCATAGCTTCAGTACAGACTCAACTATTCCATGATTACAGAGGTGTTTTCACAAGGGAAATAGAAATATGAAGCCATATTATCAACAATTTTGTCATTTAGAGTTAGCAAGAAGCTAAATTTTTCCAGTGTTTATGGCCAATTTAAAATAATATTTATATTTCCAAAACACCATCCAGTGTTTATGGCCAATTTAAAATAATAAATATTTATATTTCCAAAACACCGATTATGAATACTAGTATGCAGGATTACACAAAGACCCTATCAGGTTCAAAATCATTAGACTGATCTTGAAAATTATTTCCATTCCCTTATTCTTGGCAAAGAATTCTGAAAGGATTCTGAAAATCCACAGAAATCATTACAGGTTTTTAAACTAATAATAACGAGCCAGAAGTTCACCAAGAAAATTTTTGGCTCCCTACAATGGTGGGGCAGAACTCAGGATAGGAAGCAAAACTAACAGCCAGTTCTGGATGGGAGCCAGTCCATCTCTTATTGGGGTCTTCCTCTTTTCCTGCTGCCTTCCACCTTTCCCAGCATAACAGTCTTTTCCAGAGAATCTTCTTGTCTTCTTAGGAGGTGCCCAAAGGAGGACGGCCTCCGTTTCAACATTTTGGCCTCCAGAGATCATTTTAAGTTTTATTCGCTCTAGGACCTACTTATTTGTCGTTCTGGCCATCATGGATGTCCAAAAAGCTCTCCTCCATGTGGGAACAGTACATAACATGGAAGACAACCCCTGTCCAAGACAACAGCTTTTTTCTTTTAAAAAAAAAGGGTGAGTGGGTTTCTCGGCCACCTGGCCTTCAATCCAAAGATACAGGTACACAAAAAACGAGATGTGGTTTTGCAGTGAAACCCCTAAAGCACTCTGTGTACGTTCAAAAACACAGCCCCCCCTTTCTTTGGCTTTTCAAGGCCGAAACAAAAACACTCCAGAGCAATCACAATCCATGGTGTGGAGCTCAGCTGAAACTTTAACAACCCATGAAACTCTTTCTTGGTATGGATCGATACCTGTTTATTGCTGGATTAAAATGTGGTTTCTGTTTAAATGGGGGGTGGAGAATATTGGGGGATGAAACAGGGCTTTTTTGATCCCTTGACTTTACTTTAATTGACGCCTGAGGGATGGAGAAGAAAGTGGGGGGGGGAAGGAGGAGGAGAAGGCGAAATGCCATTTAAAGAATTAATCTTGATCAGATGCAAATTCCTCACCCTAACTGGATCAAGGGCTCTAGCCGCACCTCCCCCTAAGTTGCAAGTGGGGTGAAATGGGGTATCCCCCTCATATCCTTCCCCTACCAAGTCTACACAACCCTCCCCCACCCCCAGGGCAGACACACGCACCAGCTTCCTACTTTCCCCCCAAAAAAACACTCTATTTCGGGCAGACCATCCTCCTGACGCTTTCCTGGCCCAGTCCGCTCCCAAGGCCTCCTGGGAAATGTAGTCCGCGGTTCCGCCCGCTTTTTATGAGGCACCCTCCCCGCTCCTCCTCCCCCTAAGCCCACGAATGAAGTAATCGCCGGCCTCTCCGTCCCGCAAAGCCCGTCGGGAAGCGTAGTCTTCTTTCCCCCTCCTCGCTCCCTCCCTCTGCCGTCATCTCAGGGCCCAGCCTTTTTGGGGAGCTACCCGCCACTTCTCAAGCGGAGAGTGAGTGTCCTTTGGGGGAGGGAAGGGCACGATCCAGGAAACGTGGAGCGATCTTGCCTAAAGCGACTACCAGTCACCTATCTGTACACACACTTTAATTTCACATTTCTTACCACTTTACCTTTATAACAGGAAAAAAAAACTATATACTGTAGGCTCAACTTCTTCCCGTCGTGGAAATTTAAAAAAACACACAAAAAAAACAAGTGTATGGTCACCTAAAGAAGGCCACTTCTACCGGAGGCTGTATATCTGAACTGCTCCAGAACCAGTTTTGGAGAAGCTACAACTAAGAGCAGCAGTCACAAAAATCTTAAGCCAACATTCACTTCTTAGACTGTCTCACCAGGCCATCTTGCTAATTAATAGGGGACCAGGCTTCAGCCCTATACAGGTATAAGCTTCAAGTACTGCTTGTAGAGCAGGTGAACACTGTACCGGATCAGACCATGAATCGACTCCGCCCAGCACCGCCGGTATGGAGCATGGCAGCAGGACTTAATTCTGGGACCTTTTCCCAGCCCTGCCAGAAAATACTGAAAATTGATCCTAAGTTAAAGCAGATAAAGCAAACATTTTTTAAAAATGGTTTGCTTCTTCCCAAACTACGGCCTCCTCCTCCCTCCCATCCCCACCCCCACTTACGTCGTCTCTAGGGAGACCGTGGGGGGCTGCCAAGCGTCGGGGGGCACCGCGGCCATCCCTGACAAGCTTCCACCCCCTCCTCACCGCGGGGGAACCCAAACTTGAGCGCGCTTCCGGCGCGAGCGCCTCAGTCTTCCCTGCGCAAAGGAAGCCGGGAGCCGACGGGATCCTGCGAAGCCTGGGCCAATCAGTGGAGAGCAATGAAGAGACTCCGCATGACGTCAGGTGGGAGGGAGAATTCGAACGTGCTGCTAAGAACAAAGCCCCGACCAGCCTCTTTGTCCGCTGCCTGTTCTTTGGCCCCTTTATTTAAAAAAAAAAGGCTTGGAGGCGGTGCGGTGACAGCGCGCGGGAGGGAAGGCAACGCAGAAGCGGCTTGCAGGTCGCATGGGGGGGTTAGAGTTGCGTGTGAATGGGGTTGTGGCGGCGCTCGAGGTGGATTCGGGAACCCGTGAGGTCGGGCTGAACTCCCGAGGTTTTGAGCGTGCGGGTTAAAACTGGATGAAGATTAATAACCACGCGTTTTTTAACTGCTCGGTCCGAAAAGCATGCTTACTTTCTTCCAATGAAAAGAAATGTGGATTGCCTGCAGTCAGCCCGCTTCTCCTCTCACGAAGTGGCTTCCCGCGAAATGCTGTGATCTCCAGGATCAGCGGTCCTTTCCGAGGCATTAGCAGCCCAAACAGCGAAGAGTCTTGTTTTTGCTGCAACCGTTTTGGGTTAGTTGCTTACAACAACGTCAAGTGTTGGGGGAACCTAAGATTACCATGGTTTAATTCGGCATAAGGTTTGGCTGACTGGACTCCGCTTCTTGCCTCGGAAGAAGAGAGGCACAGCCCACCAAATGTTATGCCAAATAAAGCTTGTCAGCAATTCAGGCGACACACGAGGCAATTGGAAGTGTTAAGTCCCGTTGAACACAACTGGCCTTGTTTCTAGAGAAGTGTGAAAAGAATGGTGCCTCCCCTCTCCCGTGGATGTGCGCTGGGTTTGGCAAACTGCTTTATGCACATTGGGTGAGACAGTGGAGAAGGTCACAAAGGCCTTGGTTCTTTCCAAAAGTACTAGCCCAGTGTATTGAATTTCATCCTTGCAGTAACCAGGTTATGGTCACAAGATCTTTCTGCTTCTAAGACAAGGGACTAAAGTCATTTCTCAAATAACAGAGGGATCCTGCCAAGCAAATGGGACGGCAAAGCAGTGGATGCTTTTTAAACTGGAGATGAATTCTTGAGCAGTGTAAATGCTCACTTGGCCTCCTTCAAGGCTTTGCCCTTGAAGATAGTGGGGCTTTACCGTGGAGGTAAGGATTGTTCAGGCATCAACTAACCTAAAGTAGTGATGGGTTGTGTGAAATGTTGGTGAGGCTTGTTGTCCAAGAGAATGGGAAGATAACAAGATGGAGAAGGTTGTGTTGAGAACGAATCATCTCTTACTGTCTCCACAATAGACTTACAGTACACCTTCCTTTCCTTCTGTAGACTTCTATTAAATTTGAAGAGCTGAAGCTCCCATGCTTTCTCTTAAATGTTAAATCCTTAAATAATTTAAAGTTTCACTTTGTTATTCAAGTGTTTAAAATCCTTTGAGATTTTATGCCATTGGTTTATGGTGCAGTGTTACACATTTCTAGAATAAAATCAGCTCAGTGACTTAGATATCTAGCTGCAGAGCAAGAGATTGGAATTTCAGTTCCCTATTATGCCTCCTTGACAGGGGCTGGACTCAGTGCTCCATAGGCTCCCTTCTGTCTTTGCTGTTCTTAGATCATCATCATCATCTTTCTTCTCTTCTTTTTCCAGTCTTTCAGACTGAGGATATACGTTCTATTTTCCTTATTCAATCACACTGAAGATATATATTCTTTTTTTCCTTATTCAATAGTTTGCTTAGATGATTCCCAGAAAATATGGAGTTGTCAAATGAAGGTGAGTACTGGCTTCCTTGTAGAGGTGTGTATGCAAGCGCATGTCTGTGTATTTCTGTAAAATAGCTTCAGCTTCTAAGTTGGCTGGGTTGATTTTGTATTCCAACCAAGCCCAAGCCACACCATTCCATTTATCATTGCAGTTCTTTGTCATGGTCAATTACAAGGTACATACATTTCAAAGGCTGCATCAGAATCAAAGGAATTTCAGAAGGATGAAATGCCATGCAATGTTTAGAGCCCATTTTGCTGCCAGATCCTTTTCACAGCTAGGCCAGCTTAGGATGATTTTGTTTAAATGATTTTAATTCTTTGTTCTGCTATAAATTCCTCATATGATTTGGTTGTGGAATTTGACACAGTCATCTTCCTTGGGTTTTGATAAAGCTATGAAGTTTGTTCCACTGTTAGGAATGAGGGAAAATCACGCCTATATAGTAGAAACAATAATTGTGGCCTTTCCTGCTGGGGGCATTTGCAATAATAATTGCTTTTCTCTTTTCAGATATAACTTTTATTACAGAAGAAACCCTGGAATTTGGTCTTTTGGTTCCTTTGGATGGGTAAGGCCAAATGGATGTAAATCTGTAAATAGTTAAGGATGGAGATTCACAAAGCAAAATCTTTCAGAGTGACTGATCCATAGCATGATTTCTAAACTGTATTTATGTATGTGTATCTCAGTCTGATTTTTTTTTCTGTAAGAGCAGATCTCTGTCACTTTTGTAGGTATCAGATCACTGTACTTACATTTACCTGAAGTAAAAGGAAAACTGAAAGGAACCTTTTGCATAATAACTACAAGTGGAAATCAATTCTCAATTTCTTTTTCAGCTATTATGCATGTATGTATGAAACTGGATGTGCATGTGCAGATGGGTGAGAGGAGGCCCTGCCTACTGTTGTCCGAAAGCTGCCAGGACATTACTTGAGTGGTGATCTTGACTTTAAGGCTAAGAACATTTCATCACTTTAATGCATCTCATCTGGAATTGTATTTATTTAAAATCCAAACTACTAGTTTGAAACTTTAGCATGAACATGCTTTATCTGAGCTTTATTTAAAAAAAAACACCCTAGTATTTTGTATTCTTTTGTGAGATGGGAACCTTCTTTTCTTGCTACCCTTTTTGACTCCTTTTCTACATTTTCCTAGTTTACATATTTCTAGGTTGCCTGATAACAAAGGTCTCTGAATGGTGAACAGTAAGAACAACATTAAAACTTGCCTTGAGCACCATTGCTGCATCTTTGGATTTTTTTAAAGTCCAAGAGCGCGAAATTGTGAGATCCAGCTTGGACCATTAAATTCACTGAGTGAGGTTGAGCTACTCACTTGCCTTCAGCTCATCTACCTCATAGGGTTTCATGAGGATAAAGTAAGGAAAAGGAAATGTATGCATTGTCATCATGAACTCTTTGGAAGAAAGCAAGTGTATAAACAAACAAATAGATGACCTGTTGATGTTTGTTTCTGTTGCTACAGACAAGAAGAGGAGGACTCTGCCATCTCCACTGTGGAGCCGGGTGAGAGGTGTGTGGCACAAGCAATTGACATGAACATCTTGCTGGGAGAGAGTGAGAGCAAAGGCAGAGAGCAGCCCTCCCAGTGGAGTCCCCTCAGTCCTGAAAAACTGGAGGAGGTCAGGAAGGAAGCCAACATGTTGGCTGAGCAATTGGAGAGGTGTAGGCTGCTGGAGAAGGAGAATGGCAGCCATGAGACGAGGCTTCCCGTGGTGCCAGAACTTGCACTGTTGCCACCAACTGGATGTTTGCATGGCGGAAGGCCAAGTCCCAGGAACCCAAGACGGAAGACATTCAATGTGAACAACAGCCCCCTAAAAGCACTGCTGCCAACAGTGGGCCCTGAAACCAGCTTGGCTTATGTTTCCCCCAAAGCAAGATTTCCCAAGGGGAGAAGCCCTTCTTCCTGCATTGTAGACGTGCCTAGTCCCAAAAGACTCCAGAGTAAATCTCAGGTCTTCAATGCTGATAGTCAGCTGGCTAAGAAAGCTGGGCCCAGTCGGTTATTCAAGGCTTCAACTGCAACGAAATCCGGCACCAGGAAGGTACAGTAGCAGGACTGCTGTGTGTATAGATCACAGTTCAGGTGCCACTTTGGTGATCAAGGAAGTCTTAGCTTTGATTGCAGTCTTCTTGAGCCTACATGTGATATGATGCAGGCAGTAATGCTATAGCCATTTTAGCCAATACAGTATGTTGGGTTTTGCCTACATGGTGTGAGATTCAGAGAGAGGAAGGTGCCATGGGATTGGCTGAAGCAGATGACTGCCCCTTCCCCTTATACCAGTCCCCTCAAGATACAGCAAAAAGGGTTGGGCATTAACCTCTGACAATTGACCAAAGGCACCTTCTTTGAATACAGCCCTTCTGTCCTTGGAAGGTGGATGCACACTGCATACATGCATGCATACATCTCAACTTGATGAGACCTCCAGTAGAAACAAATGCTATGGGACTGTAGTGTTTTGACCAGACAATAGAAACGTTTAAATCTAATCTGAATATCTAGATCATATCTTCCACCTACAGTTTGGCAGAGTTTCTGGGCTGCAGAAGCTTCTGATTTTTGGCCAGCTTGGTTCAGTTCTAGCAATGATAAAGGGCTGTCTTTAATTCTATGGGGATTTCCTTCAATACATATGTTTCTGAATGATCAGTGTTAATATATGTTGGTCTGCTTATATGCAACAGATCTTTATGCAGAATTTAATATGTTGGTTTCAGCTAAAATCAATTTCTCTCTTGTGTTTTGTTAGTAATCTTTTTCACAGCCCTGTAAAAATTGATCACTATTATCTCTTTGGCAGTATGGAACTGAGAATCGTGGATTCCCTGTTGTATTGCTGGAGAAAATGTAATTTTTCACCTCTTCTGATTCTCTGCTTGGTTTGGAAAGAGAAGGATTTAAGTGTACATTTATCTGTGCATATAATCCTGCCACTTGCATTACATGCATCAGATACTGAGTGCACCGCTAGCACGCAGGGTCACAAATGGTTGCCCTCACAGAGCATATGTATCCCCTGGTTATTTTGTACACAAGAAACCTGTAGCTTTTGAATTCTGCAAGAGATAGGAAGTACTGTAGGCAGAATGTTGCCTTACAGATGTTTCCTTGTGAGTTAATGTTATCTGGACAGAGGTTTCTTAGCTACATGTAGATAACATTGATTCTCTGTGAGAAGCTAGGTTTTGGAAAGGGGCTTGAATCTGGTGGAATTCCCTCATGTTTACCAGGCCTGCTACTCTGACATTTTTGTCATATGTCATTCTCTCTCCTTCCTTCCTAGTCTTGAATTCCATTGAACCGGCTTAACTGTTATCAGCTATGTTCTAAAGCTGTCAACTGGATATAAAGTGTTTTTAATTTATGTTCTCAGACATAGGCATTGTGCTTCAGTAGTCTGAGAGCTGCTTTGAAGGATTTATAGTGGAAAAACAATCTATAAATATGACCTAAACTGACTGGGACCCCCTTCTATCGGATATGTTTCTCCTTTGTTAAGCCTCAGGCCCCCAACAGGAACAGCAAGAAGGAGATGGCCCCTCGAGTCACCATTTCCAGTGCCACACATGCTCAGGAGTCCCTCCAGCACTTGAAGCCTTTCCCTCAAATCACTAATAGGAGACCTTTGGGGAAATCAAAGGGCGCTTCTACCAGCAACCTTTCTGCTGAAAATGCACAGGTATTTCCAACTGAAACAAGCAAGGAATGACACACAGAGGAACATTACTGCTTTAGACCAAGTCAGACCTTGGTCCATTAAGCCCAATATGTTAATTTTGGCAGCCTGTAGTTCTCTGTGATTTTCAGGCAGAATTGTTTCCTACCCTTATCAAGCAATCCCTAGTCTTCCATGTGGTTTCCTATCCAGGTACTTGATCCTGCTTACCTTCAAAATCAGGCAAGATCAAGTATGCTTAGGATAGCAGACCATTATACACTAGGAAGGGACAGCATTGGGGAAATACTTCAATTTATAATTATTGTGTGGGTAATGAAGAAGAACATGTCTTCCATGCTAACTTTCTGCAGGAGTATCTAGCTCCTTTTGTGTGAATGAAGTTAGGTGTGTGGATGCTTCGGAAAGAAGAGTCACATTTCTGAATACTGTATGTAGTTTCTGCAATTCATTTTATTCACTGACAAGCAGCCTTGCAGTTGGCCACTGGTGGAAACTCAGGTGTTCTTGGACTGCATCTCCCAGAAGCTTTCACTAGTAGCTATGCTGGTGAAGATTTCTGGGAGTTGCAGTCCAAGAACACCTGGGATACCCAAGGTTGGGAACCACTGCAGTATGCTCCTATTCATGCCACCATCTTTAAGTTAAACAGTCATTCTCCCCACATGGCAGAGAAAACTTTTGAGAAGCTCTGGACCATGAGTTGCTCTTGAGCTGTCCTAGCATGAGATGTAATGTTCTATAGTTTGATTTTCTTTTTAAAAATCTTGCCTTAAGGATCCATCCAACAAAGGCAGAAAACTGGTCACAGATGTGGAGGCAAAACCAAGACCCAGCCCAGTGAAGAAGTGCCTTGCTTTTCCAAAGAAGGTGGTGTCTCCTCACAAGGCAGAGCAAAGTAAGTTAAGTTAATGTAAACCACGTAAAAGCAAAAAACGTATATACTTCCCCATAGTGCTTCAAGCACTCTCTGGGCGGTTTACAAATTAATTACGCAGGCTACACATTGCCTCTCCAGCAATCTAGGTACTCATTTTACCAACCTTGGGAGGATAGAAGGCCAAGTCAACCTTGAACCCCGGGTCATGAGCATAGTTTTGGCTGCATTACAGCAGTTTAATCACTGTGCCACAAAGCACAGTGTAAAACATTTTTTTAAAGATGTAGTCTTTTATCACATGGTGTCTTCACATAAGAGATGTGAAAGTACAGATAATTACTTCTCATGCCCTTTCCTCCATTTTGCGTGTTTGTGGGTCCAGGAAGGGCTCACAGGTCTACAGAAAACCCTCCAATGGATTACATGGCCTGCAGGTCCAAAGAAATTTCGAAGGCTGGTGAGCACAACAGCTGCCGTCTTTTTGCGGGTTCATCTCCTTGCCATGTTTTTCATGATCTATCACTACGTTTCTTTCACTTTTTTCTCTCCAGGTGGGTTTAAAGTTATGGGAAGCGATGGCTGTCCACTGCAAGCTTTCTCTAAGCCTTGCGGCACCACTAACCAGATTCAAACCAGGTGCATGGCCACATCTGGCCTTGCAAGCCAGCTCCCAGTACCAAGGGCAACTGGTCGTGGGGTCACTTCAGGCAGGCAGGCAGTTCCAGGAAGGCCCAGTCAGCTCAAGAGTTTGGGAATGCCTGGCAGACAGGGATCTGCTGTGCCAACTGGGAAGAAAGGTAAGAGACCTCAGAGTTGCTCAGGAGGCAGTGGGAGCTGAATGGAAAACAGGATGCCATGCGTTACTCGGATGGATGTCAAGTGACGTTCCTGTCCTGGGCAAAGCCTGGAAAAGTCTTTACAATGAACAACACTTATTGTGCAGGGGTAGGTTCAGAAGCACAGCCTTGCCCCTATGTGGACTGGAACAGAGCTGTCGTCTGGATGCTGGCTTTGTGCTGAGTTTCTGCTCCAGCATCATGGCTTTTCAGGAGCAGATATTTCAGTCAAGGAGCTGAGCCCAACCCCAAACATGTAGCATCCGTGTGTTAAATAGGAAATATTGGTCTCTAGATTTTACTTTATTTTTCTCTCCTTCTGTCTCCTTTCTAAAGCTTCCACATTTCAGCAGACGGTCCCTTGTGGTACTCCTCAAAAAAGTAGGTTGCGGTTACCAAAGAAGACAGTCTCTGTTAATTCAAAGTAAGTCATTGGTCCCCTGGAGAAAGGGGCACAGAAGAGCAGCCCAAGGAGTAGGAAGGGGTGGTTAAGAATGTCATGAAAATATGACAAATTGTTATTTAATCTGTAATCATGATATTTTATTGTCATTAGCGTATGTTGGGGTGGGGGAAGATTCTTGCAGTACTTTCTGCCTCAAATGACAAACAACCGGGCTGGCCTTGAGTAATATGCCTCTTGACTATGGGTTAGGGAAACAGTCTGACACAGGGATCTTCATCTGACCCATGAATTTCTTGTACAGAACCTGTGCTCTTATTTCTGATATGTGAGATAAGAGAGGGGATTTACAGACATTATCTTGCTCTTTAGATTTGAATTCTGAAGGTATTTAAAGAGCAGCATATTCAGACTTTAAACACCAGAGTTGTTCCCTCAAAGCAGGGCGTAGCTACTGGAGAGGCATATGTAAAACTGACCTGTGACTGATATGCTTCGTTGAAACATGCCAAGATGGCTAAGAATCCCATCTGTTCCCACCCACTATGGCAGTGTGCATCCTGACACTCCACTAAACAACCAGATTCCCATTTGAGAAGTATCCTCCTTTGTTGCTGCTGTGAATCTTCCATCCCTAGCAACAATTAATGCATCTCAGACAGAAAAACATTTTAAGCCAGTTCTGTTCAAGGCTTATTTTTCTTGCTTGGTGCACCTAGTAGTGAACCTAGGAACTGGTGAGAACTTGGCACATCCTCCATCCTGCTAAGCAATTCAGGTAACCAGCTTGCCTCCCAGATTTGTCAACTGACAAAAAGATTTCTTTTGCTGAAGGAACTTGGATTTTGGTTTCCCTTTGGACACCTGACTGTAAGTGGCTTCGTCTCATGTGTAATCAATGAATTAATACTAAGACAATATATTGCCACAACTCCATAAAGGTGCAAAATTTTGTTAGACACAAAGCTCATCTTAACAACTTGCATTTTTATTATTAAAAGTAAGATTCTAGCCATCATGACTAAAAATACAGTAGCCAGGATTCTCTTGCTGAAAGGGTTGATCTACATCAAATTGATTAAACATTTTTTAAAAATCAGAACTTTTTGATGATTTAAATTTAAAAAAATGATTTTAAAATTGAAACCATGATTTAAATTGTGAAATTAAATCAATTTTTTTTTAAATAATTGATGTTTATCCACCCTGCTTGCTGATGTATGTTTTCACTAGGAAGATTATGTTGTCTTGGTGGCAAATTACTCTTTGTTAATAAGGTGGCCATTGTATTCCTTGGTACCTGCCCAGGAGTGCAGCCAGTGTTAATCAGTGGCAATTTGTGCTGCCAACACATTGAATGATTTCCCTTATGCAAGAATAAATGGGCAATAGGATTTGGGCCCTATGAGCCAAGAAACACACTTCCTGTAAAATTGGGATAGGTTGGGTTATTCATGAGTATAAAATGCAGGTAATGACATATACATTAACCATGCTTGTGAACCATTCTTAAATGACCCATTTCCCTTTTATTTTCAGGTAACCATTCCATTCATTGTGTGGCTGGGAACGTGTGACCATCCCAGACTCCTTCCACATGAAGATGAAGTTGGGCTACCCATTCACTTTGGATTTGCATCTCTTGGAGGAAACTTTGGTTACTACTTAACAGAACAATTTGAAAAGGCTGCTTATCCATAATTTTCACTGTGGATCTCATTGATTCTGATCATATCCTGAGTTCATGCCATCTCAGCAGATCTGGGGGGACAGGTGTATTTTGTATTGTGACCTTTGATTTTTTTAAAATTACATTCCCATACCTGTGTTTGGTATGTCAAATGTGGATTAGCCAAGAATTTTCTAACTGGAAGAACCTTGATTTCTTTCTACCCTAGTGCATGGTCTCATTATTTTTGGTGAGTTGATTCTGATTTTCTTACAGTAGATATGCAGTCTTTGTCCCTCCACCTGATTTGGCCAACTATCATCTGCCCTATTCAACATGACTCATGGGAAGAGACTGTGGGGATTGTAGTACATAACATCTGGAAGGCAAAAGGTTCCACACTCATCTTACAAGCAAAGACAGCCTTCTCCAACCTGCTGCCTTGCAGACAAGACCTCTCAGACATCTCCAGCCAACATAATCCAATGGATAGGAAGGCTAGCCTAAAAGATTGTTAGATCAAAACAGTGTTATTGCACATGAACACAATATTTTGCCTCCAGCAAGGCATACTGTTACAGCATGCAGATATCTGTAAGTATTATATGTGAAAGCATATTATTGTTAAGCAATATATATGTAATACTTTCGATTTCCATGTTAAAAGGAAACACTAATTTACAAAAAACTAATAGTTACATTTGAACAAGAAAATGATTATTTCCTCTGGTTCATCTTTGTTTGTGTTTATGGTAAGTGTGACGCACCCTAAGTTCCCCTGGTTTATTTCTCCACACAACCCAGGTTCACTTTTGGGAATGACACTTGTTTTCAACCCTTTCCGCCGCCACCAGAGGATTTCTCCCCACTCTATAAAATATGATTTTTAAATCAGTGTTATTCAATCAAACAAAGTTTAAGTAAATCATGGATGGTCTTATTTCATTTTTAGGTACATCTCCCCCTGTTTTCTGTTGTTCCCTTTCTTTGTTTTTAATAAATTCACAATTTGAAATAAAATGATCTGGTTTTCCACAACAGAAACAAGTTTTTAAATTTCCAGTTTTTTCATGTCTAATAAATATTGCATTTCTTTTTGCCTCATTTCCAGCCGTCTGATTTCAGCCCTTTCTTTTGCCTCAGCTTCTAGCTGTCTCTTTTGGGCCTCTGCCTTTTCTCTCATTTCTAATAGTTTTAACTGAAATTCCTGTTCTTTCTCAAATTTCCACTTTATAAGCTCTAGGGAGTAGTTTTCTCTCTCTGAGGCACCCTCCTGTTCCCTTGAGCCCTCATAATCCTGGCCCTCTTGGTCTGAAATGTCCTCTTCCTGAGGTAAAATCTGACCCTCAACAAGTTCCATAACTGCCTTCTTCCCTCGCTTGGAAGGCATTTCTAACTGTTTTTAATTTGAACACATTGGCAGGTTGCTTTTTCACCAACTCCAATACACAAACCTCAGTTTTAAAAGGACCTCTTTTTTTTCTGTGTTAGAGATTTAACTTATGTAGCTTTCTTTGGTAGATTAAAATCGCTACATAGTATCTGTGGACTTCAGCTTCAGCTGTTCCTTGTGTCTGTTACTTTGTATCTCTTTGTCCACAGATACCCAGATTTTCCAAACAATATTTTTCTTTCATAAGCCTCAGTTATCTTCACCTCAGCTGTTCCTTTTAGACCTTGGCTTCCACTTTTAGGTCCCCTCTCTCAGGGCTTTGGGATCTAAAACTAGCCCTCTTGGTCCTCACCCTCTCAGCTTGAGGTAAACTTTTAACCACAGTATAGAAATCTCCTCAGAGTCTTTTCCTGCCTTTGTCTTGCCAGAATCAGGAGTCCCTATCGAGCTATTCACCTTAAGCCTTAGGGTTCCCTACTCCTTCAGTTGGACTATTGACAGCCAGGTCTCTTAGACTCGGAGATTTTTCTTTTTACTTTAGGCTTTCTGGTATTCCTTCCCTTTGAATCCCAGACTCAGAAAACTTCTCTTTATTTTGGCTCACTGGATTTCATTCGAATCCCATCCACTGGCCACCACTGGAGGCACACTGGGGAATTGAACTCCCAACCTCTGGCCTTCACAGCCAGATACCTAACTCACTGAGCTATCCAGCCAGCTTTCTTTGTATCTCTTAAGTATAATTAAGTAATATAATTCTTTCTATTCTTTAGTTATTCCCTTATCTTTTTATTTTCCTTAATTATTCTTAAAATATAGTTTCTTGGTATTCTGTTCTTGGTTTCTTTTAAAGATGAGTGAAATGCAATACATTATACTCAAGATGTATATTTACAACAATTTGGCCTACAGGAAAACCAAAGAATTCTGGCCCTAAATTGGTTAGATGGAAAACCATGTGGGCCCTGAGAAGTTCACCTATGAATATGTCACTTTAAACTGTATAAAACTTGCACAAATCAAAGTGAGGATGTGTCCAGCAAGTGACACTGAAGTTCATTTCAATTTGAAATAAAGATGGACCTTCCCTTTGTAGCAATTGTGTGGAGTAATTAGGAATAGATGTGTCTTTGTGTCAAATCCTTTTGTGATATCATGTAAGTTACAAGGCTACATGACAGTAATTGATCCATCAGTTCCTGATTATATGGCTGAAATAATGTGGAATAATTTACTGGAAATTCATCATCTAAATAAGTTAATTTGAAGGAGGGAGGCAGAGATAAATGACTGCAGCAGTGGTTAGCTCTCTCCAAGCTGTAACTTCTCTCTGCTTATGGATTGTCTGAGAGGGGAGGTAGGGTCACGCTAACAAAATACTTCAGAATTTCTGCTACTCTACTGCTGTGTACATGTTTTAAAAACAGAATGTACCATAACTTGCATAATAAAAATATTTTTAAGCATAGACAGTTGCAAGTTTACTAAGGATCAATATTACAATCACAGAACTGGAGAGTTCGAAGTGGTTCCCTAGAGTTCACCCCCTTGTTTATGCAGAAATATCCACAAATATTTTTAAGCATAGACAGTTGCAAGTTTGCTAAGGATCAATACTGCAATCACAGAACTGGAGAGTTTGAAGTGGTTCCCTAGAGTTCACCCCTTGTTTATGCAGAAATATCCACAGCTCAGATATCCATGACAGATGGTCATCTGCCCTCCATTTAAATAGCTCCAGCAATGGACAGTCCCCACTTGCTGAGGTCATCTTTTTTCCCCCATAGAACAATTCTTACCGTTAGGTGGCTCTTCATAATGTTCAGTTGAAATCTCCTTTCTTGCAAGGCCAAAAAATAGTGAAATGGAGGACATATTACCTGTTTTTTGTCTAAAGAGTACTCAGGCGATGAGAATTGACACACTCTTGTTCCTTCCCAAGGAACTGCATGTGTGGATTGCAGTGGAAGCCCCTCCCACAATGTTGGTCCATGCAGATACATCCTTGCAATGTAGGATGGAAGTGGCTGAGCCTTCAGGGGCTCCCTGTATTCGACAGCAATTAAGAATTTCTTGTGACTCACCAAAGATTGCTTTTACATACAGTATTTAGTTGTTTACTGCATAGTGTTTATTTCTTCCTTGGTGGAAGACGAACCCTGCAACCTATATTTTCTTCCAGCAACTAATTCCCTCCCCAACTCCTCCACCGCTACCACACCAGCGAGCAACAAAACTCAGGAGTTTCCTTCTTCCTGCTGTATCTTGGTTATTGTTTTCAGTTCAAGCATCTTCTTCCCTACCCAATGCCCAATCCCCAATGTACTAGCACAAGATATGGACACAGCACTGAAATGGAGCCACCTGCACAGAACTATGGTTTTATTATTTAGGGAAGGTGGGGGATGGATCTTGTATTATTTACATTAACAACCCTAACTGTACACTTCAACTGTTTGTACCAAGGGAAGAGCCAGCACCACATAATTAAGAAAACATTTTGTTCCTATGAAGGACTAAATTACCTGTTCTCTTTCCTCCTATTCAACATCCGTCTCTACCCTGCTAAAAGTGAGCTTCTCAAGCAAAAAACTGAATTGCAGTTTTATCTCAATAATAAAGTTCCAGCACCTCCAACAGCTGCTCAACAGGCAGAATTTCAAAAGGTACAGTTCCTCTCTCTAGAGAGGCGGTGTCAAGGGGAAAGAGCAATTTACCTCTAGGATTTTTGTGTGCCATATTGCAGGCACTGCACTGGGGCCAAATTAGCAGAAGGGGAAGAATTGGAGCATGGAAAATTTACTTTTTGAATGATAACATCAAGAATTCCCCAGCCACCACACTAAGGGATTCGGGGTGTTGTTGTCCAAAAAGTAAATTTCCCAGGTTCTAGAATAACTACTTCTGTTGTGGCTCAATTCTGTGATAAACAAATCCTTTAGCTCTTGTGGAGTAAACTGAGGAGTTAGCTGTTTTGGAAGCCAACATTAACAGATGAGGGGCTTGAGGCTATAATAACACGTGCCCAAATTTGGGCAGTGCTGGCAGCTATTTGTTGCCTGGGAAGCTAAGGGTGTGTTCTACTGTGCAAAACACCAGAGATAAAGTTGTATCTTCTGTAGCTACTGCTTCACAACAGGTGCCAGTTTGCTCAGACCTCCATGTAACATTTGGTATTCTGGGTACAAATTCACATTAGATACCCAGACCCTAGCTGGATCCAGGGGTTGAGTTGTGTCTCTCAAGTAAAGTAATAACTGGCAGCTTTGATTTATAGGGAATAGACACTCTCTAGAGAAGCACTTCTCTTGACATCTGCCTATTTCAAACCCACTAAATCAATTCTCCGCAAATGGATACTATGTTGGCCTTAAAAAAAATACTATCCTTGACTTTTGGTTCTGATGACTTGGGTGGTAGAAATGTTTTTCCCTGGAGTTCCCCCACTTTTTCCAGTCCTTCCCCAGGATAGCACAGCTTTCAACAGACAGCATTTAGCAAATATAGGTATACATTTAAAAATAAAATTAAGAATAAATTAAAATGCAGACATGCCAAATACATTGATGCCACAGATGAAGTAAGCTATTGTCTCTTTGTGGATGGCTGGTAAGACTCATAAAAATGAACGTGTTGCAGTGATGCAGCAGAAGCAAAGCTCTTGAGCACAGCCTCCTATAGGAACCAAGCTCTCCCTAACCTTTTGATATGTTTTAATACTTTCCTGTTTACTTATGCTTGGTCACTAATGGAAAGCCACATACTCTGATTCTGCCTTATCTTAAGGGCAGAATGATGAACAACATTTTCCCCTAGAAAGCCTCATTTGCGTTGGAGTACTTAGGTGAAATGATGGCAGCTTTCCAGTTTGTATCAGGAAATGTATTCTTTATATGAGGGGGGGAAACCTTGCATAGAAGTTATTATACACTATTCTGTGCACTTGGGTTGCAGTCTAAAACACTGGTTCCCAAACTACAGAGCATGCCCTCGGGAGTACAGTATACAAAGAAACTCCTAGGAGGTATGACAATCGTAGGGAGGGGATGGGATATTTTATCCCCTTAAGTCTTTTTAAAACTTTTACCTGTAATACTATTAAAGTAAAAACAATTGTTACTAGGTTTTTGTGTCCGTTTCTCCATTTTAAACTCCAGAATGGTTGTTAAAAGGGTTGGATGACACTAAAGGCAAAATGAGAAGGTGTGAGAATTTTTCATAAATAGGAAAGGTGGTGTTGTGCTGAAAGGCTTGGAAACCAGCACAACCCCTTGGGTGGAGGACCTGTTTTGTCATTTTTTCCTGTTACTGTACCTTAATTAAGACTGCTACCTTTCATGGTTTCATAACAAGCAAAAAAAAAAAAAAAAGGAACAGTAGAGGCTTTCCCAATTTTAGAAAATGGCTTCACCTCCTGGAGAATTGCTTGTCATGGGGTCTCAGCAAATATATACATGTATATATATTTGGCAGGCTTTTCTGTCCAAGCCTTCTGGAAAACACTGTATAGCAGACATGGATTCTACAAGCTCTTCTTCAGCATTGTGGAGTGGATTCATGGGATTCTGGGGAGTCCTTAAAGGAGCACAAAAATTCAGGATTTCACTTGCTCCTCCATTAAGAGTTGACAATTCCTCTCTGCTTACCTCTCTTTACGGATTTCTCTACTGGCTTTACTTGCTTCCAGTGTTTAAAGCTGATCAGAGTGACTTTTATCTTAGGTCTTTTGATACACTAAGAAAAGCCAGTGGGAGGGCCCCATTCCTTTTTGAACTTGCCCAAGGCTCATGCAAGAAGACACAGGTCAGCCAATGGAAGAAGACAGGAAATCTTGGATTTCCTTCATTTGCCTTTAGTACCAAATAACCATAGGAAGCCACTATTGGAAGAGCTGTGGGAGGGAAGCCACTCCTTGCCTTTTAAATCTTTTCCCACACAGATCCCCACTTTGCCTTGTGTATGAGGAGGAGGAGACTACCACAGTATGGTTGAACATTAGGAGACTACAGGCCTCTGAACAGATTACTTGCTTGTACAGGGAGAAAACCACACTTTTTTAAATGTAACTTGGTTAGAGCCAAATACCTCACAAGGTATGCTTGATGAAAGCAAGACTATATGGCATCAATCCATGTATTTAGAAGGCTGGAACTGATCCCCCTGCTGTCCGTTTAGCATTCAAGGTGGCAAATACAGTGGATGCTACTAAAGTGCCAGGCTGACATTATACATGTTGAAGAGAATCACATCCTATTATGTTAAAACATTCGAAAAGCAGAGTTAGGAATTGTCAAGGACAGAGACCACAAAAGGCTGAACAGCAATAGCCAGGATTTCCAGAGGCATAGAAGGGAGAAACCTCAATTTTGGAATCACATCCTTTGATTTAAGCCAAACTGTGACAAGATCAAGTCCCAATTTAACTCCTCATTGTGCAAACCTTGGCCAAGTTGGCAAAAAGAGAATCTGCTTCTGTGCCCTCACTTCATGGGACTTAACATTGCTTCAATAAGCTAAAGATGTAGCCTGGTAGGCTTTCTATCTCCTTAAATTAGAACATCCTTCAGCAGTGGCTGACTTTAAAAAACCACACACACATCAAAATAAACAATGGCTTCACCCTTCCCCAAGCTGCCCCCACCCACCCTCTTTCCCCTCTCCCTTATCAGAAAAAAAATCTCTTTCCCAAGGAACTTTATAAAAAAGTACTTTCCAAAAGGACCCATCATGAAAATTTCCTATTATGAGCAGGCATCAGGCTTGGCTGAGTGTAGAAAAATGAAGGCTTCTGAGGCAGAAAGGCAGCACCCATGTTGGCCTGAAAGCCGGGTGCTATTGGGAGACATCAAGGCAGCATTCCTGCGCCAGGCCAGTGGTACACTCACTGGGTACAAGCTGGAGCAGGAGTTGGGACTTTTTTCTTTTTGTCATTTTCTACGAAAATAATTGCAGCATGGACTGATGGCTCAGCAGGCCACACCCATAGTGCTCAGCACTCTATGGGCCGCCTCACAGGCAGGGTCCTGATGAGGCCAAGTCACTGGATCGGCAACTTGGAGCAGTGGTTCTCACAACCAAGTGGTCAGAAAGTGACTAATGTGGTCCATGAAGGAGCATTTCCAGTTGGATGCCCATGGCCTAGGCCTGGTCCTATGTTTCCAGTCCCACTGAGCAATCTGGAGTCAGCAGCCTGCCAGAAAAGGGACAAGAGCCACAACAGATGCAGATTTGTATAGTCCATGGATGTAGATAGCATGACGGCGATTGACAGTCTGGGAAAATGGCTCTTAAGATTCTGTAATAATCCTACCATTTTATTAATTAATAAAACTAAGCAGGAAATGGAAGCCTTTTCATTTCCTTAGGCTAAAACACTGTATGTGGTAGTGAGCACTGGCCTATGGGAATCAGCAAAAAACTTATACTTACACAGAGTCCAGGAAACATTATTTGGATAAGAATTTCCTTCCCAATTCTGTGGTTGCCTATCACAGTTAAGCCATAATGTCAGATTTCTATCTTTCCCGTGTGGCAACCAATGACAGACTGACCTGCACGCTGTTTTTTGTTTGTTTGTTTACATGCCTCAGTTGTACCATATGAGGTGTGTTTATGCCTACACTGAATCATAGAGAAGCATCACTGTGATACACACACACTGCAAAGAAAGACAAAGGCAATCTATGTGTGTATACACAAAGGTGAGGTCTTTGGGCCATCAGAGTGGTCAACATCAATGCAAAATTGGCCTGCTGTCCCTAAGCAGTGCATAGCACACATCTCATGCAGGTGCCTTGCACAGCCAAGTCTGTTGCACTCTCAGTTCTAACGCAAAGTCACTATTCTGGAGGAAGCCAGAGCAATATCCTCCAGAAACTGCATCCCATTTCTGATTTGCCATCTGATGCTAAAATCTACAGTTTTCAGTGCCCTCCCCGAAGTGGCAGCCCTCTTCAAGTACAGTGACTCCTCCTAGCTCAATCCCATTGTGAAATATGTAAACAATTGCAAAGTAATGCATTTCCAGAGGCCCCGGCATGTGGTTGCTGCTGAGAGATTCCCCCAGCCCAGCTTTAATAGATAAGAAAGAACGAAAAATATTCCAGACGCAGCAGTTCCAGACTGGGCAACAAAGCATGAAAATCCCTGAAGATTTGGAGGTGGTCAAGTCTGTGTTTCTGTTTTCTGTCCATTTGACAATGATCCAAAGTGCATCGGTTCAAGTAGTTCCGTCTCCCGAGGCCTGCCGTTCCCCTGGTGCTGGGATGGTGGCAGGTCAGTTTCCATTTGGCACTACCTATACTGGATCCAGCTCGCCGGGCCGGGCCGGGCCAAGCAGAGCCGAGCCGAAGGAGACAACATTCCTCGCTGCGGTTTGAGAGCAATCCTGGGCTCCCGGACTGGCCAAAGCACAAGAGAAAAAAGTCTGGTGCATGCGCCGTCAGATTGAGGTTTCATCACTCCTGCTCAGTGATCAAACATAAAGCGAGACAGGACGGGGAAAACACAAACACATGAGCATGGTCATGAGCAGGTTTGAGCAAAGCACCCCCCTGGGGCTCACGTGTTAATGGAGAAAATTAAAAAACAGAAATCTGTGCGATTGAAGAGAAAGGTGAGAGAAACGAGAGACAGAAGGGGAGGAAAGGAGGAGGAGAGGGTGGGTTAGTGCCAGAGAGCTGAGAAAGAAGTTAGAATAGGACAGCATCCCCTCAGTTCCCCTCACCCAACTCAAACATCATTCCACCCTTGGCCTGATGCCTCTTGCAGCAACACAGGGGAAGCTACAGTATTTGAATCATAGAGACTTTTGTCAAGAAAAAAACAGGGAAACCTCTGGTACATTAGTCCCTGAACTGAGCTGAAAAATGCAGTATTTTCTTGTGGGATGAACTGGTACACCTAGCCCTCTGAAATCTCCTTCTATCACTCAGAGTTCAAAAAGGCTGCAGAAATGCTTTTTGGATCCTAAGCCACATCAGGCTGTAGGAGCTACGAACTAACAGTCCTGGCCAGAAGCCAGCACAGGAATTCTCCCAGGAGCAGAAAGCACAAAGGCAAAGAAGGTAGAGTATTAGAAAAATGTGGACCCATGTATTCAGTAAAAGATCATTGATTTTAAAGCACAAAGTAGGAAGAAGTTAAGAAGCTCTAAACAGTGAGAGATAGAAAATATTTTTAAGCAGAGGTACTATTTAGGAATGGGGTAGGGAGATTGTGAGATACAGCAAAACAATACTAGCCAAGTAGGGTTGGAGGCCCAGCATGGGCAAGGGGGAATCCACAGACAGAGGCAACAGGCTCATACACATGGGCCTCAAAAGACACTCAGCCGTACTCACTCAGAGCCCGAGGAGTCCTCATCCACCGTGCCAGTCTTTATGCTCATAGTGATGGGTGTCAAGCCATTGAGCTGCTCCTGTAGTGTCTGTCGGGGTCGCGGCACCCCACCTCCCCGACTGCCGTCGCTTCCTGAAGAGCCATGTGATGACACCATCCCTGAGCGACAGCTGGAGAGCTTGTTGTGGATACGCTGGATGCTGTTTTTCTCACTGATAGGTGGCAAGCCCTTCTTCTTTAGGATGCCTGAGGGGAAGAATGTTCCAGAGTCAAGAAAAGTGCTCCTTGCAGCAGATACTTTGTGAAGGGGTCGCCTTTGTCTCATTATATGACTTTGAGCAGCTGTCTTGAGAAGCAAGCAGTCTGGTACCAAAGAATGGGACCATGTGGTGGTGGGAGAGAAATGAGGCCTTTAATCCTTTGCTTCTATTCAGAATGGGAAGAAAGCTCTCACAAGCACCAAAAGGAGTTTTCCTCCCATTGTGAGAAGGATTCCAATTAAGACCACAAGGACAGCAAAGAACTAAATGCCCTTCTATCGAAACATTTTGATCCCAACTTTGACAGATTTAACTACTTTTTTAAAAAAATCACCCTTGCAAGAGCAAACTACATGACAAATGTCATGTCTTGTTTGTCCCCAATTCAAAATGTTGTTCTTGTTGCTATGTGTTGTCACCCTACCTTCAGCCAAACTCAAAATTATGGCTTATTGTGTCAATCTCTTTTCCTATTGCCTTCAACTTTGTCCAGCATTACTGTCTTTTCCAGCAACTCTTGTCTTCACATGATGTACTCAAAGTATGACAACCTCAGTTTCATCATTTCAGCTTCTAGTGAGTTTAGGCTTGATTTGACCCCATCATTTTGTTTTCCACGCAGTCCTTGGTATCTGCAAATATCTCTTTCGGCACCATATTTCAAAATTCAAAACATGGCACCACACAATATGCTGAAGGAAAAAGAAGCCATTCTTTCCTATTCCCTTAACACAACTGAATTTCTTCCACGTTTCATTCATCTCCTCAGCTCCACTATGGTATGCCTGAATGGATAGGAGTTCGTCTGGTTCATGGGGTCAGGCTATAATTCAACTGGAGGGGGGCTGTGCCTCAGTGCAAGACCAAATGTCTTGCACATTAAAAAGTTGCCAGGATCATTCCTTGGCAATTCCAGGTAGGGCTAGCAAAGAACTCTCACTGAAACCCCCAAGATTATCAACAAGGGATAATTTTATAGAAGATTATCTGAGGATAAACTCAGTAGAAGGCAGTTTCCGGTGTCACCATGATTGCACTTATCAGTTGTTTAGAAACGGTTAAGCTAACCTATGAGCACAACGAGCAGACTAATCCCACCCCATCCATCCTAGTTTCCTGTGTAGAGCGTTAAATCTCAAGAGGAGAGACTGCTTTATCAGTGGAGATTTTCCACATGAGTTGTAACTTTTTTAAAAATCAAGAGCTCCCAGTTGTGTGTGTAAAAGCAAGGATGGGGTTAGGATTAATTCTTTTTACCGAACGCCAACTTTGGGCAAATGAGGAAGGACCCTAGCTGCTCAGTGATAGAGCAAGTCCCTTGTGTGAAAGGTCCATGCTCTTCCGTTTCTCGTTAGGGCTAGAAAACACGCTTACTTTACAATCTAGAGACGCAATAGTAGTCAATGTAAATTGGGCTGGCCAAGAGCTGTTCTCTTGATGTTATTGCACTACAATACCCAGCATTCCTCAGCACTGGCTATGCTGAATGGGGCTGATGGGAACTGCAATCCCAAAACAGCTGTAGGACCATGCTTTGCTGATCGCAGCATAAATAACAATAAGCCAGGTGGATCTGAGTTAACACTTGGCACAGCGTAGCCTTCCATGTTCCTAAGAAGGAAAGGCTAAAAGTTATGATGAGGTATGTTGCTACTGGAAGGGCTGGACTGGCAATGTTGCTTGAGATGCCATCTGTAATAATCTATGGTAATATTCAATACTTAGACTTTGGCTGCATCCTTTTCCTTTTTGTGCTTTTGGGAGAGTGCACAATGGAGTACTCTTATCAGGAACATTTACATCACTGTGATAGTGTAGAAGTGCAAACTGACGGGCGCATTCGATTACACTGCTCTTTCTGTTATGACTTTTGTCAAGAACATATTTTATATATTCTGCAAAAATCCCCAGACAGATCTGAAGAATTTTATACTTCATTTTGCTTTCTGATCAAGATCCCCATATTAATAACAAAGTGGCCAGATTTTGCACAGCTGCCGTAGTTTGCTGCAATTCTCTAACACAATTTTTCAAAAAGTAGTTATTATTATATAAAATTTATACACTATACAGATGCAGTGATGAGCCTAACATATACTGTATGTTTCTGTTCTGTATTGTATTATTTATTTCATGCTGGTCTTTGTACATAATAAAGTAATTACACTGTGCCTCATGAGTCTCTGAAAAGAAGGGGAAACTGAGAAAATTTGGCCACTTTTGAATTTTTTGAGCAGGATATGGCTGAATGTAATTAGAGGTCAGTATGCTCGGCATTTGAAAATAAAACCTGAAGCAGACACCATGCAAGATCAAACATTGTCATTTGTATTTAACAATCTATCCAATAAATGTGCATAATCTTGTTTTGCTCTGCATGTTCCCCATGTCAGTTCAGCAAAGAGAAAGGAAGTATACTGTGCCCTGCCTGAAGTCTCATGTTATGACACCAGATAAGTTAAATATATTTGTTTGCACCAGTCTCTGGATCCAGATGCTAAGGATATTGAGTTTTGCATTTGGTAGCATTTACATGGAAATGCAGAATCGAATTTGCTGTTTACACTATCAAAAGTTTCATATTCCTTCCTAACAATGTGGAACATTGGCAGGGGGACCATGAGCCAAACCTCCTTACCTTTCTGAGGCAAGGCAGTTGGATGAGGGAAGGTTCCTAAGATGCTCTCCCTGGTCTGTGTTTCTCCATTTTCTCTAGGCAACTCCTCTGTTAGTCCCAAACGGTCAGTCTTGCCAACTGGCTCCACACGTAGTTTCTCTGAGCCAGCATGTCCATCACTCTCACTTGCAGTAGTCACAAAATCACCAGGCCAGTAAGATTTGCCAGGGCCAGGGAGGTTGTCCACTGGGAAATAGGGAGCAAAGGAGCTTGAACACCAGGCATGAGGCCAGTCCTGCTCTCCCTCCCCTTTAAGGACACATGAATAAGTTCAAACAAGTTGTATAAAGCAAGAAAGGGGCCTGTCTAAGGGAAAATAATACATACTGGTACTTAAGCCCATAATGCAACAGAAATTAAGATCCAGAGAAAACTACAGTACAGTGCATTTTCACTTTGTGACAATTGTAGAATCCTTGTGATGCTGTGATAGTAAAGCTTTGTATGAGGCAAAACAAGGCCTTCACCTTAGGTAGAAGATCAGAAGGATAAGATTCTAACACTTTTGTCAAGTCCTGCTAAGGGATCTGCCTCCAGAAAACACTGTAGATAAATATTTTGTGCCACAAATATTACGGGCAATAGGTACTTGCTGAGTCATAAGCTGTTCCAGGATACATAACCAAGCAGCCTAAACTGAATCTCACAGGCTGTGACAGGATGCAGTCTTAATGCACTGACAGATAGGACTCTGACCAGAAGGGACCTCCACTGCATCCCACCCACCCTGAATCAGAAGGCTCGGCCATTCCTCAAGTGCCAAAGTCCTGTCCCTCCTTACCCTTGGGAGTGCTGTGTGATGGCAGTTTCTCATTGTTTGGGCATAGCAAATTTTCCCAGCAGGGTTCCCTGGCAAATTCTTCATCCTCCTCACTGTCTGAGGAGTGGGTGGAAGCATAGGACCCACTCTGGTCATCCTCCAGAGAGAGGTCACTGTCCGAGTCAGTGTCATGTTCTGTGGCCAGAAGAGAAAGATCAGGGTTAGAGTGTCAAGGTCTGAAATGTTGTATGGATAATGTGTTAAAATAATTAAGGGGGAATATAGGAAAAAAATAATCCTGAAAATGAAAGAGCTTTTAAAATTGAGACTTGAATGATAGTTTACTATAGTCATTCCAAAACAATTAGCCAGCTTTCTGTCTAAATAAGGTCAATAACATCCTGATAGCTGAACATGTTAATAGTACAATGAACTTGTTTATGTTACAATGTGTAAACATGAAGCAGCACCTGTAACTCCTATAATGCTCCCTTTTAGTGATTATTCATCCCACAACAGCTTCAGGTAATGCCAGTCAGAATCTATTCAGAGCTTATAGTCACAACTATCAGTTGTGTTTGATTATGTGAACTGGCACTGGGAAAGTTTGATTTTTGTTTAGCCGGTGGTGCAGGAGGTCAAGTTGCCTGACCTTTTCATAAACTATAATAATAATCCAGAATAGAATTTGATAGCAGAAGCACTGAAGGAAGCAGCTGAGGAAATGAGTGCAACTCCCCCCAAAAATCCATCCACGCAAAAAACTGCTATTAGCCCCTCAGATGGGAAAAATACAAGTATACTATTTGAATTCAAGCAGCTAGGAGAAGCCAAGAAAAAGGGACTTGACTACATGGAGTGAAGAACGGTATCTCATGGCATTAAGTGGATTGAAGTACACACCATATTGAAAAGGTCACCTTAGGGCAAAATTCTATACTGAGACGCAGTTCTGTCTTGAACACACACAGTTGTATCCCCTTACCATTATTCTGATCCTTGGTTTCCAGAAAGAGTGAATTGGCATCTGTAGGTCCAATATGCACCTGGCTATTGTTCAAGCCAGACTCTTCCCTGCAACAGCAATTCAGAAATGTTAATAGCAGTCCATACCTCCAAGCCGACACAACACAAAGGATCAAATTTTATATCAGGGGAAAAAGCAGGAATAAATTGCTGTGAGTGTTAGGCGTAACCATCAGATTTCTACTAGGGATTCATACTAAAAAAGTACTCAGGGCAATACTCTCTTATTTCAATTTCTCTAATACACACACACACAAAAACCACACCAAAAAAACCCATCATTTTTTGTTTGTTCTTCTTGTGCATGATCAACATCTAGCAATATCCTCAAACTAAAACATTTCATGTAGTGGCTTTAGAATGCTAATGCTAAAATAAAAAAGCAAATGAACAAACGAAAATAGTCAAAGCTGTATTGAAAATAGTAAGTGTCAAAAACTTGGGATGGAATGATATAATGTCTAATAAGTTTCAGCAGAGACCTGTCCTTGAAAGCATAAGAATTCAACCTATTGAGTATTTCTAGTAAAGCAACATTTCCCAAGCTGTGGTTTTCCAATTATAAAGAACACATCAGCTATCATAACACAGCTTAGCTTCAATCTCCTCACCAAGTCTCCATGGTGCAAAACTAGCATGTTAATGATACCTAAAGAAGGGGAAGAGTAACAGGGGAAGAAGTCTGGCACAAGGGATGGTGTGAGAGTCCTACCCATGAGAATATTTTACCTCGTTTATGAGACATATTTTCATACAAATTGAACATTAAAGAACTTAACATTAATAAGTAATTGCAGGATTTAGCATGGATCTCATGCGACTATTCACAACAGAACACATAAAAATTGGAGGATCTCCATTAGTTCCCCAAAGAACACAAATCCTAGGAGGAGGAGGAAGAGTTCTGCTTTGAAGAGCACCCAGTAAGTTTATTGATCATATAGGTGGATCAGTTAGTCTGCAGTTAATTATCATTGTACTTCACATGCCAGTGATGGCAAACCTTGCAAATGCTGCTTGACCTTGGCAGAATTAGAATTACCTGAGCACAAAAGGGATGTAGCTGTGCTGACTCTTGCCTGAGCGGACTGTGCTGTGCAAGGAACCAGTGGAGTCTCCAAAGGGTGCATGATACAGCTGCCCATCCACATATGTGTTGTTGCAATTATAAGCCTGTGGTTAGAGGAGAGGAAGAAAAGAACAGCACTGAAACCAGAAATAACTCTCCTTCTGATGTCACAGATGATCTCTGGACCCTTCCAAGCGCTCTCTCTCATTCTCTCTCTGCAATACTGCTGTAAGAAACCAACCTGTCCTCTCCCTGCTGTTCTCCAAGTTCAAAAGATGGTCTGGAGGCATGATGCTGGGTAGAGTGTCTTTGTGTATTTTGCTCAGTAACCATGGAATTTGGTGCTTGGTCAGCTTACAGGTAAACGTTCCCATACTTCTAGCACAACTATAGGAAGGTAACATCAGTGATGGAGATTCTACAGGATTCTGAGTATTCAGGGGTGGGAGTTTAGTCCCTTTCTCCCCTTCTAAAAGGCCATCAATTGCAGAATAAACAAATCAAAGTATGGAAATATGAGTACATCTGCTTAATGCTTAATCACTAGAAGCTTACCAGATAAAGTTTTATGAATTTGAACTATACTATCGGTTGCCTTTTTGTGAGGGTAGTGTTTCGCTCATTTTTAAGAACAGTTTTCAGAGTGTGTAACAGAACATACAAAGTTATTCTCTATACAGTGGTGCCTGTATAGAGAATACAGGCACCACTGTGTAGAGAATAACTTTGTATGTTCTGTTATACACTCCGTTCCAGAAGATGGGCATAACTTAAAATGGTCATAAATCAAAGCACCATTTCCCATAGGAATGCACTGAAATGCAATTAATCCATTCCGGCTAAAGAAAAAAAAATCACAAAAAAAATCACTGCAAGACTTATTGGAAACACAATTAATCCTTTCCAGTCAAAGGGGGGGGAGGGGGAAAGAAAAGCAATCAAGCGTGCAAGACCCATTGGAAATGCACAGAAAACAAACGGAGCAGATCAGAAATGCACAAAGAACAAAGGGGGCAGGTCCAAAATGCAAAGAAAACAAAAGAAAAAGCAAGGGAAGCATGCAGGACCCATCAGAAAGGGGGAACTCCTCCCAAAAAAGCAACCAACCCCCCTTCGGAAATGGGGAACCACCCAAAAAGCAATCAAACCACTTGAGACCCATTGGAAATGGGGGGAACCAAAAAACAAACAACCCCCCCAAACCCATCGAAAATGGGGGGAACCAAAAAACAAACAACCCCCCTGTGACGTTTACCACATAACCCCTGCTTGTTTCCTCAAACAAAGGGCTCACACTATGTCTTCCCACCAGCAGATAACAATTGGGACATTCCCCCTTTTTCTTACTGCCACCAGTGGATTTCCTTTATCCATGATATATAAAGACCTTTAGTCAGACACTTGTCAGGTTGCTGCCAACAGAATTTATTTATTGAAGTGTATTAACTTTAATCAGAATGGCAGATGTTCTTTATTCAATGCATACAATCTACTAATGCAAATATCATATATCTTGCCACCTTCCCCACCTGCTCTATCTATTTATCTTGACCAGCTTATCTCTATTATTATTTCTTCTCACTATCTCCGTGACTATGTCTCTATCTCTCTCTCTCTCTCTGCTTCTTTCTGCCTAGGGTGAAGATGGATTTCCTGGCTTCAAGGGTGATATGGGGCCCAAAGGTGACCGGGTGAGCAATACCTTTACCAGTCCTGCAGTGTTTCTGGAAGTATGAATGGGGTTCTTTCAAGGGAGGGCAGAAATAATCAGGGAGAATTGAGAAATGATGATGATGATGATGTCGCATTTCTCCCAACAAGAGACCCAAAGTGGCTTTACATTACAATACTTTTTTGCATTGGAAGATAATGTTATTAGAGGGCGGCGATCCTTCATTACCAAGGCCAGTGGCTGGCAGCATTCTGAT